TCTATTTGTGTGTATGTGCCAGTCCTAGGGCTTGAGTTCAGGGGCTGGGCACTGTCCCTGAGCTTCCCTTCCCACCTACCCCCCCCCCCCCTAAAGAAAAAGCACTAAGCAATCTACTACTTGAGCCATTTCTGGCTTTTCTGGTGGCTAATTGGAGACGAGTCTCACAGACTTTCCTGCCTGGATTGGCTTTGAACCTTGAACCTCAGATCTCAGCCTCCCAAGTATGATTACAGGCATGAGCCATTGGCACCTTGCTTCACAGCTCACTTTTTAGCCTAGGCTGGCCCCAAACTCACAGTCCTTCTGCCTCCTGCCTCAGACTTCCCAGCATGAGCTTGCAGGCATCATCCCCTGCGCAGACATTCCTTTTCCCTGTTTCTAAAAATCTTGTTAGGAGAAATCCCTTTTTAGAGCTGATTTTTTTTTTTTTTCCAGTCATGGGTCTTTGAACTCAGGGACTGGGCACTGTCACTAAACTCTTTTGTTCAAGGCTAGCCCTCTACCACTTGATCCACAGTGCCACTTCCAGTTTTCTGGTGGTTTATTGGAGATAAGAGTCTCATGGACTTTCCTGACTGAGCTGGCTTTGAACCAAGATCCTCAGATCTCAGCCTCCCTACTAGCTAGGATTACAGGCCTGAGCCACTGGCTCCTGGCTTGTTAGAGCTCATTTTAAAACATTTTAATCTTTTCAAGAATCTTTTAAGGGGCTGGGAAGGTGGCTCAGTGGTAGAGCGCTTGCCTTGCATGCCTGAGGCTCTGGGTTCGATTCCTCAGTACTACATAAGAAAAAAGAAAAAAGCCAGAAGCGGCCCTGTGGCTCAAGTGGTAGAGCGCTAGCCTTGAGCTGAAGAGCTGAGGGACAGAGCCCAGGCCCAGAGTTCAGGCCCCACGACCGGACCCAAAAAAAAAAAAGTTTTAAGATTTAATTTTTTTAATGTTGATGTGTATAGTACCTGTCTTCTTTCTCCCTAGCACTCGGCCTTTCCATTTTTCTCCTCTTCTAGTCCTTTGAATATTTAACATCATATTTCCAATAGTAGAATTAACAAGCAAGACTGTCAACTCAGTTTTACACAGGCACATAACTGCTTGAATAGCTGGGCACTGGTAGCTCACTTCTGTAATCCTACCTACTTAGGAGGCTGAGATCTGATGATAGAAGCTCAAAGCAATCCCAGGAAAATAAATCTGAGATACTCTTATTTCCAGTTTACCAGCAAAAGGCCGGAAGTAGAGGTGTGGCTCAAGGGTAGGATGCGAGCCTTTAGCGGAAAAAGCCAAGCAGGATTTTGAGGCCCTGAGTTCAAGCCCAAGTACCAGCACAAAACAAAACCTGTTTGAATAAAGTTAGTGTTGCTTAAAAGTGATGTACAGTTACTGGAACTGCACCAACTCAAAGCACTTCTTGGGCTGAAGTACTGCTGTATCCTGGTGATTCTGGGCTAGTCATTTACTAACCAATGCCACCCTTCCTCCTTCATCTGCAAAATGCCATTGACATGCATGCTCAGTGACAAGTCACTGAGCAACAGTGTATGGGAACATTTTCAATAGCATGGCATGTGGTATGCAGTAGGAGTATAACAGATGTCCATAAATGCCCTCTCCTTATTAAGGTTGCTGCTCTATGCTGACTAAATCATTGTATAGTGTTTAAAAGAAGTGCTTGATAATGACAGAATTAATGTCTTAAAAATGGCTTGAATATATGCCATCAAATCAAACTCTACCAATTAATAATGTTTATATGCAGAGCCTATAAAAAGCAGGATTAGCTTTAAACAGAGAAATGAAAAGGAAATTGATGTGTGTGGTGTGGAGGGTGACTATGGCTGACACAGCTGCCTTTCAAACTAAATAGGATTTGGTATTGCTTTTGTTCGCACTTATCTTGGATGATTAGAATATAACCATATTAAACCAGTGGTCTTGGGTCATATTATTTTTTTGGCAAGAAATAATTCTCAATCTAGCTAAGATTTATTAAGGTGTCAGTTAAGACTAGATGTCATTTAACTGAAAGGACTACCAAACACATTTTAGAATTCTTGGAATTCTACCTGATTCATCTCTTTTATCCTAGCTTGTCCCAGAATCCCTGGAATGTTTGAATACCAGTGTGTCTTCTTACTACAAGAAAGATTTAAAAACCTTTGTTTTGGGCTGGGAAAGTGGCTCAGTGGTAGAGTGCTTGCCTTGCATGCATGAGGCCCTGGGTTCGATTCCCCAGCACCACATAAGCAAAAAGAAAAAAAAAAGCCGAAAGTGGCACTGTGGCTCAAGTGGTAGAGCACTAGCCTTGAGCTGAAGAGCTGAGGGACAGTGCCCAGGCCCAGAGTTCAGGCCCCATGACCGGACCCAAAACAAAAAACAAAACAAAAAAAACCTTTGTTTTCATTCCAGGACTCATACTAAGTGGAGACAGGAGAATTATGAGTTCAAGGCTAGCCTGACTATTGTAGTGAAACATTTCAAAAATCCACTGGCTGGGCACAGGTAGTTAGTTCATGCTTATAATATTAGCTACTCAGGAGGCTGAGAGCTAGAGGATCACAGTTGAAAGCTAGCCTAGACAGAAATTATTGTCAGCTCTGGAGTTTGAACTCAAGGCCTAAGTTCTGTTCCTGAGTTTTTCCCACTCAAAGCTAGCATTCTACCACTTTGAGCCACAGTGCCACTTCTGGTTTTCTAGTGGTTAATTGGAGATAAGAGTCTCATGGACTTTTCTGCCTGGGCTGGCTTCAAACCATGATCCTTAGATGTCAGCCTCCTGAGTAGTTAGGATTACAGGCATGAGCCACCACCAGCACCAGGCAAGAAATTGTTTTTAATGAAAAATGTTATGTAGCATTTATCGCAAATTGGAATTTTATTATCTCTCTATATATACCTTATTGAACTGGATCAATACATTTCATATTGCAGTTGCCTTTCTAACAAACACTTTGAAATCAGTAAAATAATATATAGGAGGCCCTGAGTCTCATTGATGCTGGTGACTCACATCTATAATTTGAGTTACTTCCTTTTTTCAACCAGTAGCTGGATATGATAGCACACCTGCCATCCCATCTAGAGTGGAAAGTGTAAAATAGGTTCTGTCCAGGGCTGGGATTGTGGCTTAGTGGTAAAGTGCTTGCCTAGCATTCATGGAGCCCTGGGTTCAATTCCTCAGTACCACCTAAGCAGAAAAAGCCAGAAGTGGTGCTGTGGCTCAGGCAGTAGAGTGCTATCCTTGGGCAGTAGAGTGCTATCCTTGAGCAAAAGAAGCTCAGGGGCAGTGCCTAGGCCTGAGTTCAAGGCCCAGGACTGGGGGGGGGGGGGGCGGTGAGGGGGGCCGTGGTGGGAGAGTTGTCTGTCCAGGCACACACACCAGGAAGAAGTAAGGCCTCCCACTCTTCTTTGGCTTTTTTGCTCAAGGTAGCCCTCTACCGTGTGAGCACACCTCTGTTTCTGGCTTTTTGCTATCTAATTAGAGATAAATGTCTCACAGAACTGGGATCTTCAGATCTCAGCCTCTTGAGTAGCTAGAGTTATGGGCATGAGCCACTGACACTCAACTAGAACTGACTCAACATGCAAAATTAATTGATTATAACAGTAATTAAGTTATTTATTTGTCCTTACATTGAAAGGTGAGTCATTTGGGATAGGAAAGAGGGATATGTTATGGATGGGAGACTCTCATTCATGCAGTATCAGCTTTCCTGGAGAAGTGTACCTAAATTGTGTGAAAAATATAAACTCTCCCCAAAATTACTTGTGTTTCTTGAGTTTTGTGGTCTTGCAACCTCTGACTCCTGGACCCATGCTTTCTTGCTTTGTGCCTTGGTGCACCTACCTGTGAAACTTGGCTTCTCTGATTTTCAGAATGTCCCTATTTACACAGGCAGTTGTGGATTCTGTATACCTATCCAAAGAGTGGGGGGCAAAATGGAGATGGGGGAGTCTTGCTTTGTATGAATGCAGACCACTTTCCTGGAAAGCTCTATTCTTAAAATGTTTCCAGCCCTCCCTTGACCTGAGCGCTTCACCCCCACCTAATCCCCAGCTTCTTTCCATTATGCCAAGTCCTCTTTTCTTCTCTCCCTTTCCCTCTCCTCGTCATTCTTCTCCTGGTTCCTTTCAGAGATAAAACAACAAATTCTTCCCCTTGTCTAGTGCACAGCAATTTCCCTTTCTTGACAACCATTCTGGGATCTTGACAGCCATTCTGCAGGGAACCACCCACACCAAGGGGACTGGACATGAGAGGTGGGGGGCCTGTACCGAGGGAACACACTTTCACAAAGAAAGCCTCTTCAAAGAGGAATTCTGTAGCCATTGGGAAGACAAAATAGTGAATTTGCCACCATGTTACAAGGCAGCCACAAATACCAATCTCAAGCTTTATTGAATCTGGAATAGAGTGTCACAAATCTAAAAACTGATTGTGTGTGTAATTTATCCAGATCATAAACTCTAGCTATCTTCAACTAATCTAATGTCCTTGTATATAGAAAATGTATTGCTTTTAAGGAATCCTGCTGCTTGCTAAAGGTCATGAACCCAATTAGCACAGAAGAGTCAGTCTCCTGTAAAAGTGGTCAGTGTTTTACTTATGCAAAAACAATTTTAGCTTTTCATATTCCAGTGTTTTTGTTACAATGATTTTGCTTCTGACAGTTTTAGGTTACAGGCAAAGATAACATATCTTCTTTAAATCCTGAACAAATGCAGACACATTTTTTTTAGGAAGTAGACCATTAATACTTACTTGCATTTATGACTTAGTTATCCATAAATGACTAAATCTTTGATTGCTCTTAGCTAAAAACAGAAAGTCATAGTTTTTTTTTTAAACCCCCATTCTTTCCCGTCAGTTTTGAGGACTTACAGGGAAGTCACTGCATTGTAACATACTGAACCTTTATTGAAATTATAAATAAAATTCATGAAATTGCTTTTTCTTGCCATATATCAGCATATGCTTACAGATTTTTTCCCCTTTTTAGGTAATAGAAGAGAAGAAACATAATCAATGATTGTGAAATAAATGGAAGAAGATGGAAAAAACTTAATGGGTAAGAGAGAAAGCTGTAATAAAGCTTTATTAATGTAATTTGTTCACAATAGTATCATGTATGGACATAGAATCCTATCAGAGTAAGATATCAGTCAGTCATGATCTTTATCTTATACCTTTTTTTGAATTTTTGCTCCCTGATTCTATTAGCCATGTAAAATTTCAATACCATGAATTAACTAAGATATGGGGTGGGTAACAGCCATGTTTGAAAATAAAAATAAAACCTGGAAATCAGCTCACATACTAAAAGAAGTCTAGGGTAGGTCTTGAAGTGAAGTTTACTGGGGCTCAGTAGCAGCCATGCCTGTCCCCTGACCTGGCAAGAGTAATTGTCCATCCTTTCTCTTTTTCCAAATACCATTAGGAGCTATGATATTAGTCTCATCTTGGAGTCTTGCTCATTTGGGCAGGTGCATATGTGTGTAAGATAGATATTGAATAGAATTTCAGGGAAAATCCAATAAAAAGCTTTTAAATTTAGAGGTCCACACATTCTTATTGTAAAAAATTCAAATATCAAAATTCTCTAACTGAATATGGGTCCCCTTCCAGAGTCTCTTAGTGTATGCTGTGCATTTCTGCAGACTTCTTTGCCTAGTGATGATACACAGGGACTGTTTTTGACCAGTTACTATTTACTTGAGATTTGGCAAATTAATCTCTCTGTGTGTCTCAATGCCTCACCTTTAATATGGAGACAATATAATATCTATTTTACAGTGAGGTTGAGAACTAATCTACATGAAAAACTTGAAATAATCCTGGAATATAGTAAATGTTCAGTATTAGCTATAATTTTCATATGTATCCTAGTTAGCATTTCTTTCTCTGTGTTTTTTTTTTCTTTTTCTTTTTTTTTTTTTTTTTTTGTTTTTGGTGCCAGTCCATGGACTGGAACTCAGGACTTATGCACTGTTCCTGAGTTTTTGTTTTTTTTTTTGGGTCCGGTCGTGGGGCCTGAACTCTGGGCCTGGGTGCTGTCCCTCAGCTCTTCAGCTGAAGGCAAGCGCTCTGCCACTTGAGCCATAGTGCCACTTCCAGCTTTTTCTGATTATATGGTGCTGAGGAATTGAACCCAGGACCTCATGCATGCAAGGCAAGCACTCTACCACTGAGCCACCTTCCCAGCCCACTTCCTTCCTTTCTTGCTTGTGCTTTTGTTCAGCTTTTTCTGTTCAGGCTTAGTGTTCTACCACTTGAGTTATGTCTCCACTTCCAGCTTTTTGTTGATTAATTGGTGATAGAAGTATCTTGGGGAAGTGGTGCTGTGGTGGCTCAAGTGGTAGAGTGCTTACCTCGAGGTGAGAAGCTGGGGGACAGCACCCAGGCCCAGAGTTCAATTCCCATGACCGACAAAAACAAAAAAACAGAAAAAATATTCTCTGAAAATAGGGGGCTGAGAAGGTAGCTCAATTGTAGAATGCTTGTCTTGCATGCATGAGGCCCTGGGTTCAACTCCTTAGCACCACATAAGCAGAAAAAGCTGGAAGTGGTGCTGTGGCTCAAGTGGTAGAGTGCTAGCCTTGAGCTGAAGAGCTAAGGGACAGTGCCCAGGCTCAGAGTTCAGACCCCACAACCAACAACAACAACAAAAAAGTATCTTGGGGAAGTGGCACTGTGGCTCAAGTGGTAGAATGCTCGCCTTGAGCTGAAGAGCTGAGGGACAGGGCTCAGGCCCAGATTTCAAGCCCCATGACTGACAAAAAAAAAAGTGTAATATTTCCTGGACAAGTCACCATAACCAATTTGTTTTGCTTGCTTCTGAGTAGAACATTTGAAATCATATATCTTCTTAATTATGAGGAAATTGTTGATGTGAGATGATTATTCATGAATAGTTCTTTTTTTTTTTTTTACCATATATATATTTTTTTTTTAACATATTTTGAATATAGCTGTTTTGCTTCATTACAGTTTGTAGTGTTAGAAATCACCTGAAGTGGGGCTGGTAAGGTGGCTCAGTGGTAGAGTGCTTGTCTTGCATGCATGAGGCCCTGGGTTCAATTCTTCAGCACCACATAAGCAGAAAAAGCCGGAAGTGGCACTGTGGCTCAAGTGGTAGAGCACTAGCCTTGAGCTGAAGAGCTGAGGGACAGCGCCCAGGCCCAGAGTTCAGGCCCCACGACCGGACCCGAAAGAAAAAGAAGAAAATCACCTGAAGTAGCTCAAGAACAACACCTGTTTAGAAAGGATTAGAGTGTGATAATGTGTAGATTACTGTTTGGCTGCTATTCATAGAAACAGGTAGACTGAAAGACTTAGCAGTAGGGCAGCTGGAACTGATTGGTAATGGGAAATAGCTCTTTTGTCCTGTTAAATAATATTGAATGACAGTCAGCAGAAAGTTGTACAAGAGAAGAAAAGCCAGGGGAAAGGTGACTTATGGGTCTTATAATTAGAATGTCACTTATAAGTGATGGTCTAAAAAGTAAATGTGCATTAACAGCTGACATTTATACTGAACTAGATGGAGTTTTAGTATGTGGGTTTTGTTCTGGGGTCTGTCTTGTCAGAGAGAAGCCTTGGCTTTTCTTTTTTTCAAATAGCAATTCACTTCCTGTTGAAATAAACATTAAAGGACAAAGAGAGTGATATTTAAAGTAGCAACTGTACTGATAAAATGTCTTGGCTTTCCTTCAGGCGTGTTTTCTCTGTCTTTCCTCCTCCTTTTTTTTCTCCCACCTTCCTTCCCTTGTTTGAGAATTGCTTCTGAATGCTTGTTGGTTATGGCTCTCAGCAAGCATGTCATTGAAAGCCATGTCTCAGGGGGCTGGTCCGGGGCCTTCAAACCACTTTCAGGAGCTCATGAGATCAAAACTATTTTCATTACAAAGCTAAAACGTACCTTGCTTTTCCCACCCTCATTTGCTCTAACATGGGCAGTGAGTTTTCCAAGGGCTACCTACTTTGGAACTGACTAGATGCAGAAGCAGACAAGAGAACCCAATTTCTTCCTTAATTAATTTTGGGCATTAAAAAGATTTTTCGCGGGAACCAGTAGTTCACACTTGTAATACTAGCTACTCAGGAGGCTGAGATCTGAGAACCACAGTTCAAAGCCAGCTTGAGCAGGAAAGTCTGTGAGACTCTTGGTTCTAATTGACCACCAAAAAGCCCTAAGTGGAGCTGTGGCTCAAGAGTGCTAGCCTTGAAAAAAAGAGCTCAGAGACAGTGCCCAGGTCCTGAGTTCATGCCCCTGGACCAACATAAAAATTTTTGTTTTGAATATTTAAGACATGGCCAATTTCATGAGATTTGCTGTAGTTTGTTTCTACATCAGAACATTTCAGTCACCCCACTGTAGGCTACAAAGTCCTTTTTATGAGTATCTAAAACCCAGTGTTTTGTTTGGTTTCCTTCCAACTTTGGGAAGCACTTTCCTGGACAGTTGTTGTTGCTGTTTTGTGTTTTTTTTGTTTGTTTGTTTTTTTGGGGTATTTTGGTGGGGCGGGGGGGGGGGGGGGGGAGGGGGAGGGGTAGTGTCAGGGTTTGAACTCCAGGGCCTTGACTTGCTAGGAAGGCCTGGTACTACTTTAGTCATACCTCCTGGACAGCCTTTTATCTTACTTTTTTTTTTTGGGGGGGGGGGGAGGGGGTCGGTTGTGGGGCTTGAACTCTGGGCTTACGCGCTGTCCCTGTGCTCTTCAGCTCAAGGTGAGCGCTCTACCACTTGAGCCACAGTGCCACTTCTGGTTTTTCCTAGTGGTTTATTGGAGATAAGAGTCTCACGGAGTTTCCTGCCCGGGCTGGCTTTGAACCGCAATCCTCAGATCTCAGCCTTCTGTGTAGCTAGGATTACAGGCATGAGCCACCGGTGCCCGGCTTTATCATACATTGTTAACTGAACATCTATCATGTCATAATCATGTTGTACAAGGGGTTAAAAACAAGGCAGTGAACAAAATAAAAGCAAAAAAATTCTCCTTCCAGACATTGAGCCCTGGATGCAGCTCCCTCTACTGGGGACATGGGTTGACAGCCACGGTGGAGCTTAATTTTGGCTGATTGAGTGACAAGAATGACTTGCATCTTTTTAATCTGTGTGTGTGTGTGTGTGTGTGTGTGTGTGTGTGTGTGTGTGTGTGTGTGTGTGTGTTGGTACTGGGACTTGAACTCAGGGACAGGATGCTGTTCCTTAGCTTTTTCCACTCAAGGCTATTGTTCTGCCACTTGAGCCACACCTCCACTTCCGGCTTTATGCTGGTTAATTGGAGATAAAAATCTTAGGGGGGCTGGGAAGGTGGCTCAGTGGTAGAGCGCTTGCCTTGCATGCATGAGGCCCTGGGTTCGATTCCTCAACACCACATAAGCAGAAAAAAAAAAAAAAAGCCCGAAGTGGCGCTGTGGCTCAAGTGGTAGAGTGCTAGCCTTGAGCTGAGGGACAGCACCCAGGCCCAGAGTTCAGACCCCACAAACTGGACCCCCCCCCCCCAAACAAAAAAAAGATTATAAATTTAAAAAAAAAATCTTAGGGATTTCCTACTCTGGCTGGCTTCAAACCACAATCCTCAGATTTAAGCCTCCTGACAGCTCAAATTACAGGCATGAACCACTGGTGCCCAGCTATTCAGCATTCTTGTTTTAGTTGGCTTATTTTTGAAATTGTAAAGAATTTTATAAAGAAATTTAACTTTAGTAAAAGTTAACTACTAGTGGTTTTAAGATTTATTGTGGTTTTTATTCTAAATGTTTTTATTTACTATTTGAAAACTGTTCTTATGTGTGACATTTTCTTTGCCTGTGATTTCTTTAAAGAGACTTTTATAAAGGAAGAGAATTACTTGGCTCATTAGTTTGAATCACCTAATAATGACTTGAAGGTTAACTAATCAGCCATCAGCCTCCTGTCTTATCACTCACTAACTTCATCCATTTCCAAGTGCAGGCAGTAGGGCACACCATTAGAATATTAATGAAAAAAGAACTAGCATTCAAAATGTGAATTACCAAAAATGTTCTCTAAAGATTATCTTAATCTTAAAGGCCTTTTAATAG